TGGTACGCGCACGTGTGCACCGCCTGTCTCTTGCGTGTCCACGAGCGCCGGGTGCGCTTCGGGGGTGCGGCTTCCGCCATCACTCCTGGGTCTCCTGAGCTCCTCCCGAGTCCCGCACCGACTGTCCCAGGTCCCAGACAACTCAGGAAGGATGGAGAGCCGGTGGGTCCCGGCGCAGGTGCCGCGTGCCCGCGGAAGAGCTGGAAGTGCCCTTGGTATTGGGGCGCTGGGTACAGTGCGGGGTATCCCGACAGCAGCCCGTAGGGGGCGCCCGGCGCCGCGGGCACCGAAAGGCCGGATCTCGGGAAGTAAGTGGCCGAGGAGCCCGCGCCCGACCCCGGGTAGACGGGCTGCAGCGGCAGCCCCTTGGGCTCGGGGGCTTGGGCTAGAGCTGGACCCACGAAGGCGTCGGAAACTGGGGCTCGTGGTGCAGAGCGCGCCCAGCCCGAGTGCTCCTCGGGACCCAGGAGCCCGGCCACCAGCCCCGGGCCGGTCGCATAGGCGCCCAGAGTCTCAGGCAGCGCCGGGTAGTGCGCCCCGGGGCCATCGCCGGGCGCCAGGGCACAGGTCCGGGGCGCCCCGCCTGGCTCCGGGCTGGGGAAGTTATTGAGGAAAAGATCCAGGTCCCAGGCGGCGGCTGCGTCCTTGTCATCGTCTTCATCTTCCCCGGGTGGGTTCTCTGACTCCAGCTTCACGTGGAACGGAGGCCCCGTGGGGTCGGGGGGCCCTGGGCCCAAATCCTGTGCCTCTTCTGGGTGCCACCACTGCGGAAGGGAGCAGGTGGTTTGAGGCTTAGGTGGACTGCCGGTTACCCCACTCAGGGAGAGTGTGGACGGGCCCCCGTGATGGGGACAGGCCGGCCAGAGACTTGGGGAAGGGTCTGGGTTGCCTGGCAGTCCCCCCTACCCCCCCATGCTGTACCCCAAACCCCCACCCCCAGTTCCAGGGACAGAGGTTGATCAAGTCTGGCTGGAGGCAGGAGATAAGCCTTCCATTATCTGGGTTCACACTCGGGGATGGGGGAAGGGGGTGGAGAACAAGGGGGTTTAAGCGAGGGGGTTGAGAGCCGAGGGGAGGGGATGCAACTTGAACTCAGCCCCCTCCCCCCAAGATCTCCCTCTCTTTCCTCTGCTCCCCGGATGCATTTTCAAACCTTGAACTCCCTGGGCACATTTACCATTTGATTCTGGGTCTAGGGCTCTAAGCCTAGACCCATTCATTCGGGGGTTCAGCTCACAGCCTCAGTTTTCTAGTAAAGAAACAGCCCCGCTCAGGTCCTCGGGTCCCTAGACTCCCACCCCAGACCACGCTCAGACCCCTGACCTTGACGGAGGAGACCCCGGCCTTGGCCAGGCCCCTCCATTCCTGAGTGGCAGAGGCCTGCACCCTAGTTCTGTAGCCGGGCCTCGGGTCCCAGCCAACCCTCCTGCACCCCGCCTGGCCCCACCTTGGCAAAGTCCTCCTGTGTGTCCGGGAAGGGGCCCAGGGTGGTCAGTGTGCCGATGGATGGTAAGGCCATTTCGGCTGCTGCCATGGCTGGCTGGTGCCCACCCCGGGCCTCAGGCCTCCTCTCCCTCCGCCGCCTCGTGGGCTCTGAGGGGCTGAGGGCTTCTCAGAGGCCTCATCTCTGGCCTCAGCTGATTGGCTGCAGCCACTGATATAGAGGCAGGCGAGGTGGGGGTCACTGTCTCCGGGAACAGACTCACCTCCGCCTGTTTGGGCCTTAAAGACGGATCCTGTATCTAAAGCCGAGTAAGATGTCAGTGGTTAGGGGGGTCCCAGGGCTGGGGGCTTAGGTGATGGGAAAAGAGGGACACTAGAGGGGCCGGCAGGTGGTGCAGTGGTTAAGGCACTGGACTCCCACATGGGTGACCACAGTTCGAGTCCCGGACCTGGTGGCTTGTTTTCTCACCTTCTCTCTCAGTCTCTGGTCAAATAATAATAATAGTAATAATAATGAATAAGATAACATAATTATGGAAAAAAATAAAAAGCACCGGGTCCCCAAAGGTAAGACGTGGAGGCCAGTCCTCGGTTTATCTTCGTGGAGAAGGGGTGACAGGCAGAATGGGTATTCTGGAAAGGGGCAGCAAGATCCCCTTTTCCCCTAGAGGGGCTTCTATGGTTCTTCCCCTCCCCCGAAACAGCCACAGCCACGCTGGTGGCGGGACTTGGCACGCAGTCCCTGCCAGCATTATCAGACAGGCCAGATGTTGGAGGCTGCTATCAGGTAAGAGCCCAGAACAGTCGAAGCTCTGTGCTCTGGGGAATGGGAGGCCTGGGGGCTGAGTCTTCACAGTGGCCGGGTTTTCGGTCGCCTGGGTCGGGTGCTCCCAGAGTCTGAGCCCTGTGGCTAGGGGGAGCCCCTGCCAATCAGCCCACTGGAGCCCCTCGGTCTCCGGGAGCATGCAGGCAAAGGCTGATGCAAACATAGGACAGGGGGGCAGGGGTGGGAGGTGGCCTCCTCTCCTGGGGAGGCTGGGACCCTTGGATCAAGCCACAGTTATAATGACTTTCTATTGTTACTGATTGAAAGTATTTGTTTTATTTATTATTTTCTTTTTTAAAAAAGAATTATTGGGACCAGCAGTTTGCGTAATGGCTATGTCGTTGGACGGACTCCCATGTAGTTGACTGAGGTTCAAGTCCCGGACCCGGTGGCTTAAACTCACGCCAGGCACGTGTGTGTGAGAGGAGAATGGAGGAGAAAGGATTGTGGCGTGGCAATCTCCCCCGGGGGGCGTTGATTTCTTGTTTTCTGTCTCTCTGTCTCTTTCTGGTGAGCGCGCCCACCCTATAGTAAAAATAGTGAAAAAAAAAAAAAAAACCTCTCCAAAAATTAAAAAAACAAGGAACAAACAAAAGAAAGAAAGAAAGAAAGAAAGAAAGAAAGAAAGAAAGAAAAGGAGATCCCAAAGGCAATAAGCACACCTAGACAGATGATGACCAAAACAGTTTATACGCACAATCACACACAAGACCATTGGGTATGACACACTCACACAAAATACCATTACACAAGCTTACAGTTATGCAAACAAGAAACCACGGAGGGGGCTGGCAGATGGTGAGGTGGTTAAAGCATTGGACTCCCACATGGCTGATAGTGGTTCGAGTCCCAGACCCGGTCACTTGCTTTCTCACTTTGCCTTTCTCTCTCTCTGGCCAAATTAAAAAATAAATAACAAAAACAAAGAAAAATTAAAAAGCAAATAAGTAAAAAGCAAAGAAGACATTCAGTCACATTTTCAGATGGACATTGGCACACAAAGAGAAACACACAGTCACAGGACCAGCAGTTGGCATAATGGCTATGTTGCTGGACTTCCATGTAATCAACCACAGTTCAAGTCCTGGACCCGGTGGCTTACACTCATGCCAGGCACGTTTGCATGCGTGCTCAGGATCCCGAGAGGAGAATGGAGGAGAAGGGATTGCAGCGTGGCCATCCCCCCCCCGGGGGGGGTGATTTCTAGCTTTCTATCTCTCTGTCTCTCTCTGTGCCCTATAGCAAAACCTCTCCAAAAAAAAAAAAGAAAAAAGAAATACAGCCACACAGATGCACCATCACAGTCCCACAATGACACATACAGGTGCACAATTACTCAGGCACAAGAGTAACAGTAACAGGGACCAGCAGGTGGCACGGTGGTTAAGGGCGCTGGACTCCCACACAGCTAATTGTGGTTCGACTCCCAGACCAGGCAACTTGATTTCTCATTTTCCCAGTCTCTCTCACTCTATCCCTCTGGTCAAATTAAAACAAACAAATAAATAGATAGTTAAATAAAAGAATTCTTTAACAATTTTTTTTCGTTAGGAAACGTTTTTGCTATAGGGCGTGTGCACTTGCCAGAAAGACAGAGAGAGACAGAGAGACAGAAATCACCCCCCAGGAGGGATGTCCACGCCGCAATCCCTTCTCCTCCATTCTCCTCTCGGGATCTTGGTCACGCACACACATGCACCAGGCGTGAGTTTATGCTACCGGGTCCGTGTCTCTCTCTGTGCCCTATAGCAAAACCTCTCCAAAAAAAAAAAAGAAAAAAGAAATACAGCCACACAGATGCACCATCACAGTCCCACAATGACACATACAGGTGCACAATTACTCAGGCACAAGAGTAACAGTAACAGGGACCAGCAGGTGGCACGGTGGTTAAGGGCGCTGGACTCCCACACAGCTAATTGTGGTTCGACTCCCAGACCAGGCAACTTGATTTCTCATTTTCCCAGTCTCTCTCACTCTATCCCTCTGGTCAAATTAAAACAAACAAATAAATAGATAGTTAAATAAAAGAATTCTTTAACAATTTTTTTTCGTTAGGAAACGTTTTTGCTATAGGGCGTGTGCACTTGCCAGAAAGACAGAGAGAGACAGAGAGACAGAAATCACCCCCCAGGAGGGATGTCCACGCCGCAATCCCTTCTCCTCCATTCTCCTCTCGGGATCTTGGTCACGCACACACATGCACCAGGCGTGAGTTTATGCTACCGGGTCCGAGACTCGAACCGCAGGCTGTTACATGGGCGTCCAGCCTTGTAGCTATTATGCCAACTGCTGGTTCCAAATAAAATAAGTCTTTAAAAAAAAAAAAAAAAAGAGTAAACCCAAATGCATACAGGCCACAAACACACACTGTCACGTGTCGCGACACGTGCTTCCTGGGACAGACTGGCAGACAGGCTGGTCTGGTAACGCCCACTCGGAACCCACATTGCCCCCACTAGCACCCCATTAGAGGAGACCTCGAGTTCTGGCTCCCGGGTGTAAGTAAGAACTCACTTTCCCCGAGCCTCAGTTATTTTGTTTAACTCCGGGATCGCTCTGTTGACGCCCCCGGCAACTGACCAACCAGAAGCGAGCCAAGCCTCCTCACAGGACCAATCAGAGCAGGGGGATATCTGGCCAATTGGATTGGGCTTTCGTCTTCCGCCCCTTCCTTGGTCTGCTTCTTAAAGGGGCTACGTTGACTCTGCCTGAGCGTGCCTGCCTTCTCCTGCCAAGAGCTGCCATAGACCTTTTAAAATCAGCGCCGCCGAGGAGCAGGCTCGTAGCAGGAGCCAATCAGGACCCACATTCATCCTCCACTCCTCCCACCTCCGGATGAGGTCAAAGGCCTTGGTCAGTTGCTCCTGGACCGCAGCTGCGAGCCGAGAGGTAGGAGCGAAGGAGGGCGCGAGGGGTCTGGGCCGCGGATGGGCGCCGCTGCGCTCTGACGCCCCCGCTCCTCCAGGTCGCCGCGGTTGCTCCGCTCGCCCGCCCGCTGCCCGCATGGCTCTGAGAGGCGTCTCCGCGCGGCTGCTGAGCCGCGGACCCGGCCTGCCCATCCTGCGCACGTGGGTCTCGGCGGCCACGCAGACCGGTCCGTGCGGGACCCGCAGGAGGGTGGTTGGGGCAGAGCTGGGGCGTTCGGAACTTTCCCGGGGTCACTTTCCCGTCTTGCGTCTGCAGAGAAGGGCGCGAAGGCACACCCGCGACCCACCAAGGGTAAGCGCCCCTGTCGCGCCGCGCGTCTCCGCGCCTTATCCATCTGTCCGCCCCAGTGGACTCCATCCCGGGATCCGAGGACGCCCCGGCGGGGAGCCAGGCGGTGCCCAGGCTCAGCGGCGCCGCGGGAGTGAGCGTCCGGTCCCCGCAGGGCCAGAGAACTGTCGCCTCGTCGGTGCCATTTGCAGCCCGCGTCAGCAGGGGGCGCACCGGGGTGGAGGGGTGGGACCGGGGGTCCTGGGCAGGAGGGCGCGGCGTGGGCTGCACCGAGTCGAGCTCCCGCCCCCCGCCCCAGCCCCTCGTCCGGAGTTCGACTGGCGGGACCCGCTGGTGCTGGAGGAGCAGCTGACGGC